GCTCATGATATTGATCTCCAAACTTTATTTTGGTGGAAGCTCTACTTTAATGTAAAAAGATTTGTAAAAACAGGTTGAGGCGAAGCAGTTTTTTAATGATCTCTATCGATTTGTGACCAAGCCACTCATTTCACGATCTTCGTGTCAAAGTAAAACTAGAAGCCAGCAAAATGGAGACTACGCCACTTATGTATCATTTTTCAAAAGTTTTACTGCATCTACCTTTAAATGATGCTGACATTTTGAAGCTCGATTTTGAGTGTTTTTTTTTTTAATTTTACTTCTAGCTTTAAAACGCAAACAGGAATGTCTAAAAATCGATTATAATATTATTGTAGTCGCGAATCTTCGTAATTGATATTATGTGTATGTATGATATGTATTTTGTGTATGTAGTATGCACAGCTTCAGAGTAATACTCATCCGATGGTGAACATTTTGTGCGATCAAATTTCTAAAAAACCTATTTTTCGGGCCAAATTTTTAGATCTGTCAACTGAATGATATGGGTACCCGCGATCAATAAGATTTTTTACGTTTTGCATGATATAAAATCTTTTTCGTGTAAATCTATCTACTAGAACGGCGGGAACTGGCCTTCCAAAAACACGAAATTTGGCAAAAAAAATGTTTTTGAAGATATCGCGGATTTAATTGCATTTTCTGTGGATCTTTTCCACTTCAATAAATGACCTGATACGGATTTTGAAGTTTTGCGAAAACAGAACTTTAAAAACTTCAGCCGAAAGAGAGATGTACCCAATTTATCTCATAAATAGTGTGAGCTGGCACATCCATGGTTCTTAATGGACCACATTGAAATCGGTATAGATCGATGTATTTTTTTAGGGTGCACACCGAAATCGGATGCGCGTTAGTGGCATATGGAATTTTTGGAAATTATTCACGTTTTACGATTTTTTGGGTATTTCAATGCAACGAGTGGCACATCTTAGCCGTCATATGAAATTTCGTAATATATATATGGATTCAGTACTTCCTGGAAACGACATGCGCATCAAATGATTTTGAGAATTACGCGATTTAGGCGCAATTTAAAATGTACAATTCATAATATTATTTTATTTTATGATTTATTACTATTTATAGAACCCTAAGACTTATCGGAAAGGTCTTGATATAATCCGCAAGGCGTGTACTTATACACGAAAAGTGATTATTTTTATATATGTAAATTTTTCGGCGAAATTCGGGTAAAGTAGCAGAATAGCCCAATCATTTTTTTCTGAAATTTCTTGTTGGGATATTCTCCCCAGAAGCTATTGCTTCTATACAAAAAACCTTTCATACCCAAATGTATCTTGTAACAAAGCGAAGTACTTAGCTGGCCATCGACATAAACTGCATACGAATTTCGCTGGAGCCTCACTTCGAGGTTAACAAGGCATTTACAAACAATACCACACCTTTCCCACTGTTGTGTGTTGTCACATCGCGGCAAATGCACACAACGACTTTGTTGGTGTTGCTAGTATACAGCAACAAACCAAACAGTTTAACCGTGCCTGCGTCTACAACTTCAGTAGTGTTGGCGGTTTATTTGGTGTACCATTTTTATTTTGTTTTTGCAAAATAGTGACAACACACAACAGTGGGAAAGGTGTGGTATTGTTTGTAAATGCCTTGTTAACCTCGAAGTAGGGCTCCAGCGAAATTCTCATGCAGTTTATGTCGATGGTCAGCTAAGTACTTCGCTTTGTTACAAGAGACATTTGGAAATGAAAGGTTTTTTGTATAGAAGCAATAGCTTCTGGGGAGAATATCCCAACAAAAACTAAGGGAACTGATGAGGATCAGTGGCGTGATCCGAAACTATAGTCTTCCCTGCCTTACCCCTCGGCAAACAATTCCATATATTCCCCACTCATAAATAGTTGTTTTTTATAAAAACAACAAACTGGGATTCAGCCTGACTATTTTGCAAAAACAAAATAAAAATGGTATCCCAAATAAACCGCCAACACTACTGAAATTTCTTGTATAAAATTAAAAAAATAAATATGATGACATTATTTTTTCGAATCAAAAACAAATATTTTTCCTCAATATCTTGTTTTGTTGTCGCTGTGATTTACAAACCGCTACACGGACTTGTGTGATTTTGATATCATTTGATTCATCATGGTGTTTAGATTATGTAGATATTTTTAAATTAATTTTTAGGTTGATACATGTCATTAATATAATGAAAATATTGATGTAATCTCGTATATTTTTTATTTTTCTCATATTTCGCGAAGATGTGCAACTTTTTCGCGATTATTATAATATATTCATATTCCTATTTTACGGAGGAAGATATATATCAACTTTTTTGGTCAATATAATAAACGGCGTAATTTTAAGATTTTTTTCTTATGCCCAAAATTAAAACCTCGATAACTTTTGCGCGCATCAACCAAAAATTTGATCGCGAACGGTTTCGAAGTCAGAACATTTTTCTCTATATGTGTACCAAAAATCATTGATGTGCCACAAAAACAAAAAAAGGTGCTTTTTGGAAAATGGAATATTAAAAAATTGGCAATATTGCCCATATATATCACCCTTATTTAATAAATACCGTTTTTAACTACCATCCATTTTATTTTAAAAATCCTAACATACTCATATGTCTCTTGTAACAAATTTCGTAAATGAAGACCACTCGTCTGTCAGGGTTATTTTAATTCAAATTAAGAATTTTTTAATGCAAATTAGGGATTTCCTCTGTATATGGCATTACAAACATTATTGCTGTCATTCTTCGTTTTTTTTTTTTTTTCATTTATCCATATCATAAAGATGTAATTCCCAAGGCGTATTTATTGTTTGTGAAGCAAACTGTCAAACAAATTTCTTTGGCGATTCATTTCCTTTAAATTTTAATTAATCTCAACAAAAAATACATTTATAGGAACAGAAACTGTTTAAGGCTCGAACTTAATTCAATGCGTTGTTTACTAAAATACACACCTTCTCACTTTTATATGCTTTGTTTAACATCCGTATTAACCATATGCGCAAGGACCTTATCTACATGTGTGTCAATTGAAAACGGCGAAAATTGATGAAAATATTTTTTTAACTTATCGAAAAATGGAATCAAGGTGCATTTAATATGGTGTATGCATCAGCTACAACAACATACATTTTACAAAAACAACATTGTTGTAATGGAAATTAAATTGTCATGCTGACAATTAGGTTTTGAAAAAAATATAAATACAATAATACAGTAACGGTAATAGCGAACTAGTAGTTTGTTATGGAAAAATGGCTATATCCATAGTTCGCGTTAAGAGTTAATATTAAGTAAATATGTCTTAAAACTTCGGGACCAGGAAATGTGTTTGCCATAAAGAAAGTTCGTTAAAAGTGTACTCGGCTGTACATTCTTTTGTTCATTTTTGCCATGATCTATTCTTTGAGAAATATTTAACCAATTGTTATTTATTCTTTGGTTATTTGTCAATGAAAAAGTAAGGTTTAAGACGTGGTCGCGAATATTTTGGAAAGATTCTCAAGGCTTCCTTGGGATGTTGCTTATATTTTAAATTACAAGACATAAATCCCCGGGCAAACAGCACAAACCCGTATGCAATCTGTCAATAGACAACGCAATAAAACCCCCCCTTTAATTGTAAAAATTTTGCGTTTGCCAGGCTTTTCGATCTAAGAAATTATAGAAAATGCATTTGTTGTCAGAATGGCATGGAGGATTTTTATAATTAACACTTCAATTTGAAGGTATATTTAACCCCTTGTGCCACGAATATTCATCCCTAATCATAGAACAATTATCTGTTCACAGATTTAAAGCAACTATCCTAAACAACTATAGCTACATCCTTGCATTCGGGAGATACAGTACATTCTTCCTGAGAAATAAAAGTCCAATATCAAGAAAACTAAATGCTAAATCGACAGAAAAATCTTTTTAAATTATTCTATATATATATATATATATATAGTTTTTAACTTTGGGCTTCGATTTCTAAAAATTTCTAATGGGATAATAAGACTACGAAATTGACTGTATTTTTCACCATATTTATTTTTGTTTTTATGTCATTTTATTTTAACTTTTATGTTTACTTGCGGCAAGTCTTTGTTTGTAGGAGAGAGGGGCAAGGGGAATAGAAATGGAAAAAATTGCTCGTACCAAAAATTTTCTGTCAATTCGTTTTGTTTATTTTGTTTGTAGTGTCATTTCGGAAAAAAAAATTAAATTCAAAAAATATATGTTTGAAACCAAATTGCCTTGTATAGACGCAGGAAGCAAGTTCAAAAGAGAACGATAAGAATTGCCGCAAGTAAACTCGCCTAATATAAATCAGGACTAAACAAGCAATCAGTTGATGTGTCTTTTAAATACTGTTTATATTGCTTTCCTAGCATTGGCAATGCCCCCAAAGCTTAAAGCTTTCATATCTTATTAGCTTTTGCTGAATACTCAGCTGATACATCTATTGTTCGGGAACTGTTAAAACAAAATCTACTCTCGATTTATGTTTTTAGTGGGACATGCGCAATGGCAACGAAAACCAAATTACCAAAATATTATTTATTTTATTTGTTTTCGCAGAGTTATTCGCCATCATCATCAACCATCCTCGTATCCAAGTGAATACCACACAAGAAAACCTCCGAAAATTAGAAAAGTAGTTAGATAAATTATAACAGCCGATCGCTGCTGCAGTTCTATATTCTTGAAAAATTGTTAATGCTCAACTGCCAAACCCAATTCTAAGGTTTCCTAGGCACTCAAAAATGTTAAACAATTTGTAATCAATCAACCAGCCAGCCAGTCAGCCTGGTAGTCATCTAGCTAGCCGTTCGTTCGTTCATTCATTCATACTTCCAAGTGAAACTGAACCACCAAATAACCAAACACCCTTCCCACAGTAAAACGGCCCCAGTGAAATTTTATAGTGAAAATTCAGTCGTTATCAGTAAGCGAGTGAGGTTTATCCGTGTGTTCCGTGTACCCAAGAGATACTAAAAACGAAAAATAACAAAAAAAAAAGAAAGAAACACCCGAAACATGAAAACAACGTGCATCGAGACCTGCCACATTATCCAATAAAAAGTATAAAAGTGAGTAGTGGTAGCAAATAAATATGTAGACACACACACACACCCCACACACAACAGCAAACAGAACATCTGGACAACTGGACATCTAGAAGAACAATTCCAGATGTTATATTTCGATGCAGAAGAGGCAATAACCGTATCCAGACTATCGCATTTTCCGAGTGTCTCTGTAATAGATATATATGTATAAAAGCTTATTAGTTATATGAAAAAATCTAAACCGTTTAGTAAACAAACAAAATCTTGTGCGAAAAAAAATCATCACCCACTAATCTACATAGAAATGCCAATTCAATTTATTTCTGAAAATCTGTAAATGCGTCTTCGCCAATGTTTTTGTATATCGTAAATTTCAATTCGTTAACCTACTTTCTTAAATTGTTTTTTTAAAAGGGTTTTCATTCAACAAACAAATCGTTTTTTCCTTCCAGGCACGTTTATTCACGTCACGAATAAATGTTTTCCCAAAAAATAATTAATGCATGCGATATTTGTAAGAATTATATTGTAATAATGTGCGTATGTATGTATAAAAATAGACATTCGACTAAAAGGTCGAAATATTTAAGATTATTGTATTTATACAAAAGTTGTTCGCCGAACAATTCTGAAATAAAGTGCTGTCACTAGAAAACTGACACTGTGATATATCAACATTATTCAGCCAGTTAGAATTTGTTGGAGTCCATGGACTTAGAAATCGAAATACTTGAAATGATTGTAAAACCCTTCCCCGCATTAAACCTTATTTTTGTATTAGATATCTGAGAATTTATAATTTACAACATATATCACAAGATAAATTTTAAAAAATTATATATATTTCTTGTTATTAACACTTCCAAAACACTTTAAAGGACGTATTCGGGGTTACAGTGCAAATTATTATCTCTTTAGCATTGTCCATAAATAGTTAATGGTATAATTATACAAGGTGTCAGGCGCTTGAAGACATTTTGTTGAGGGTAATACTATTGTCAATACGATTTACATCAAATAATACTTTTAAATAAAATACAAATAAATTGAAAATTAATAAAAAAAAAAAACATTTCCTAAATGAAATCGTCATTAAAACCATGGCATAATTATTAAAGGTAGTCTCATTTGCATTTGATGGCACAACCAGCAACTCTGTACTTGATTTTGTCCATGATGCAATAAAAAGGTGATGTATCAAAAGAAAAACCTTTGCTTTTGTCTCGACTACCTGTCAAATTTTGCCATATAATATTTCACATGGTTTGCAACACTGCACATCGAATTCAAGTAGAAATTAGAAAACCCACTTCGACAGTTAATCAAGACATCAGTTGCGCTAAATGGACTAAGGCATGGCACAATAAATAGGTAGTCAATTTAGCGCAGCTGATGTCCCGATTAAGTGTCAAAGTGGGTAATTTCTACTTGAATTCGATGAGCAATATTGCCAACCATGTATAAGGAAAAAATTTGACAGAAGGTCGAGACAAAAACAAAGGTTTTTCTGTTGATACATCAGCTTATTGCATCATGGTACAAGGCCTATATAAGGTCGGTCAGTAAGCGAATTCATAGAAAAAACCTAAGTTTAACGTCAATTTTTTTGCTCAAGCAAAAACTCTTTTTTTTCGCCTTTAAATAAAAAAAATATTAAATGTTGAGAAAATATTATTATTTTCTTTTTGATTTCTAACATAATTTTGTATGTATGTATGTATAGGTTTCAAATCGTATACACAGCTGTATTTACTGTCCGACTTCATTATGTCATTTTCAAATGAAATTTGATCAGTTCATCTTCGGAAGGCTCGGAAGGAAATTTTACAAAATGGCGATTTGTTAAGCCTTCGTTAAACTAACGCATGTTTATAAATTAGACGAAATTTTTCGTATACGAATAACGTATCAAGTTTTACCGGGCCTACACAGAATATCAACTTATTGAAGCTGAACTCGATTTTTTAAAGATTTGTTAGACTTTGTCTACGCATGATATATGGTCCTATACCTTCTATACTAAATAGAATGTGGACTAGTTGGAGGAGAAGTAAGACAAAAAAATAAAATTTGATTTATTCATACATGCTTCCAAGCCTAATCTGGCTTAGGTCTACGATTGCTGTCAGTTTCGAAGATGAACTTTAAAAAGCCTCATTTCACTAATTTTCCGGTTTTCGATCCTTTGAAAATTTTCAAAGTGTTCCTGCCATGAACAGTACGTACCTAACTAAGGAGGATATAAAAATTATAATTTTTGACAAAAAAGGTACAGAAAGAAAAAAAAATTGAACATATGAGTGCACTAGACTACCTTCCTTGTTATACCATGATTAGATTACATTAGAGTATTTTACGGAATAAACTATTTTATGACGATGCAAATGCACTACTATAGTACGTTTACATTGTAACGGATTTCGTTAAGCCAGTGGGTTTAAGTTGTCAATTCCATTGTCAAATAAATCCTCATAAATTAGGTTAAACCGGTAAAAAGTTCTAATGTAAATGCCATTTTACATATACGATTTTAAATCGGCTCGATTTACGAAATCCAGAAATACAACCTAACTGTTTACAGATAAATTTAATCATGATCTAAATGTCAATCAGGTGATTTCTGTTAGTATACAAACAACATTTTTAATTTGCACCAAAAATATTTGTTTACAAATTGAAAATTAAAAGAAAAATTACAGCAATTGAAATGTTCCTGCAATGTTTGGCAAATCAAAACACAATAATTCTGTTATTAATTTTCATTTCCTTTCGTTTTTGCATTTGACAACTATTGAATAAAAAAGACAACATGTGAAAACATATTGGTTCATTGTGATAGAGTTGTATTTTTTTAACTCTGCCGCAAGATGATTTAAATTTGTATGATAAATTATGGTAAATGTAGACTGATTAAGAATATATACCGCTATAAAATAAGAACATTGAATTGTTTGTTTACATTCTGGATTGAGTTTTCGGGTGACATTAGTATTACTTCTTACCGACAAATGTCAAAGCTGTTCTTTTGATTTTTTACAACAACTCTTGTTGTTAACTTATTTTAATCGACTTAAATGTTCTCGATCCTTTTCAATTACCTTATATTTCATCCTCTAACAACACCAAGTTCCTTCAAATGTAATAGTTTGCGGGCATTTGTTTACAATTGCAGCCTCCATAGCCACTAGAAAAATAAAATAAAAACTATAGACATTGTCTTTGACCAGGACCGAACCTTCAAAATATATTGTGACGATTGGTTCATAAGTGCGTTAGGCTCACTAAGTATAATGGACAGACCTATGAACACTTACAGTGGGACAGGGAACTGCTCTTTACTCTTAAACATAAAGCTTAAACATAACATTGGTAATTAAATATGATAAAAATTCTTAATGATATTTTTAGTCTTCATACATATCTAAATTACGCATAGCATTTAAATATAGAACAAACTATGACCAAGCAGAATGTTGACCACATTACAAATTACGCACCCATATTCATATTCATGTAATATCAAATAAACGAACACAAAAAAACAATTTTAGTTTACATTTAGAAATATTTCATTGCTGATGTAAGAATAAAGCAATTATAAAGAATGCACTTATATTTGAAAACTATATTGCAACGGTCCACAAAGATAAATCGGTTGTTTTTAATAATACGACGACACGTCCATATTAAATGGTAACATTTTTTCATGTATATAAACTTAATATATTAACAAAACTATAAACAGATTTAGGATTGGATTTGAAATTATTTTTAATTTTTTTTTAGGTAAATATTATAAAGCTATCGGGATCTTTAAATAGGGGACCGAATGTACTATTAAATCTAAATCACAATGACTCTCAGAAATAAATAAAGAAGGTCAATTTAAAGTTCAAATAAGTGCATTAAGCTTTTGAGAGTTTTATTTTAAGTTTTAAATGACTTTGAAGACTTTTATGTAAAATTTACATAACAATTCTATGTATCATACCAATTTTATGTACTATTCATTATTTTACAAGTTGCAATAAGGGTGGTCACAAACGTGGTACAATTATTCAAAGTAGGGTATCTCAACAGAGAAAAAATACATAAAAATTTAAAAACAAATGCAACAAGTCGTTATGTCCATATGACATATTTCTAACATTTTACTAAGAAGTCAAAAATGAATGGAATGTCAGGGTATCTTTCGAGTTGTGAATATAATTTAAATATTGATTCATTCACAAATCATAAATTTCTTATTACCAATGTAGTAAACTACATATTCATACAAATCATACATATACGATCTTGGCCCATGGTCACAAATAATTCAAAATTTGGTAAATCAATAATTATTTTTTGATATGTGAACATAAACAGCCCAACATAAAATTAATGAAATTAAATAGTCAATACTTATATAAATTCAATATAAAAAATAATTATTGTTGCACAAAATCAATTTTGTCCTCACAGTGAAAATTATCCAACGGTATGATTTACAACCTAATAACGGTTGAAAGTCATGGAATATAAAGTTAAATATAGGCGTATGTTTGCTTATTTGGATGGCCATCGCGAGAATTTGAGAGATAATTAGTTCTTCACCACGCTGAACTAGAAAAATCTCAACGGAAAATAGCGGGTATACTCAATAGTACTTGATTTACTGTCCAAAAATGATATTGAGGCACAAAACAAAGAATCGAATTTGCAACAAGCAAAAAACCTGGGAAAAAAATATTCAATATAAGAGATGAAAAGTGGTTGCTCCGATAATCCAAAGATAAGTGCACCAAAACTTGCTAAAATCTGAACTTGCTGGTAAAGAAATGTAACCCAGAATCCATTCGAAGAATTTTGCGTAAGCAGGCTCTTTCTGGTAGAGTTGCACTGAAAACCCCATTCATAAATCTCAGGAACACGGCGAAAACAAATGTAATTTATTTGGGTCGGATAAAGGGCAAGGCGAATAAAGCTTTGGAATCAAAGCATAATGTCAGAATAAATATGGGAATGTATGAGCGTAGCCGGAGTAGAAAATCTCATTATTTATGGAAGAATTATGGATAATATTTATTATTTAAACATTTTTCTTCTTGGGATTTGTTTCGGCTTAAGGTTAAATAAAATTCAGTATTTTGTTTTCTGCTTTTTTATTTTTATTTCCCAAAATTTCGGGGAAATAATTATGAGAGAATCTACAGGTTTGTTACACCGTCTATGCTAAACATTTAAACATTCTAAAAAATAATTTGAAATGTAGCGTTGAAAAATTGTGATTCGGGACAATATTTTATTTTATCAAAATAATGACACCAAACACTAGTCCAGAATCCTTCGAGAATGTATGCTTTATTATTGTCGAAAAGTGATTCAAACACCCCTTCAGTCTGTTTGTTAAAAAAACGTTTATCTTGGTTACTTTCCACTGTGGTGTTGCAATTGATTTTGTTTAACAATGATTATTTTTTATAATGAATTTGCCTACATATTTTTTTTTATTTTGTTGCATTAATTAAAATTTGATTCACTGATTAACATGATCTTATGGCATTTTTATTATAAAAAAGTGGATAATTTTGACTGTGACTCACTGTATGTGTAGGTTTATATACATATTTAAGATCCAAAGAACTCATTCTTTTCTCCTTGGATTTAAGTCCAGTATTTTCAACTCAAGGTCCTTGATACTAAAAAAGGAAATCAAACTTAGTCAATAAAAGTTTATGTATAATAAAACATAAAACTTATTTTAATAAAATTCAGTGTTTTTATTTTCCTTTTCCTACACTTTTTTTCTTTTTCAACAGATTTGTGACACCGTCAGTTTATCATGGACGGTGTATAAAAATATTTTTCTAGCTACCGCGTATAAAAAAATATTACTAGACTTTTACCCGACTCTGATTAGAACAACTAACTAACTAAACTACAGCAAGTCAATATAACACAAAATAACTTGCTACTTTGGAAGAATACAAAGTACGACTTATGTGAATAAGGAACAAATAATAGTCCTTAATCACAATTTGTTATTTCTTAAATGTAATTTTTGTTCTCGTTGTCCAACTATTTTTTGTAGTAATGAAAAAGAGGCGGTATGGCATTACAAGGTTGGCGACTTTGCGGCGTAACGGTAACAATAGTTATATACATTGGAGGTGTTCTCTTTCTTTCCATGAATAATGTTCCTGGTTCACATCCTAGACGAATACGTACTGAACGTTTTGCAGAGGTAAATAAAACGGGGAAGAATATCTAAAAATTCATCAACAAATAATGTTTTATTTTTATTCGTTAATTTAGTTTCCTAATTATCGAAATCAAAAGCATGGCATCAATCAAAAGATGACAATTAGATGGTGTAAAGAATTAAGATATATGCAACCTGAGCTTCCAGCAGAACCTGCCGATGCAGCTTCCGAATTTAATAGTAAGATTGTTTTAGCTGTTAAATTTTCCGTCTCATATTAATTTCGATTCGAACTTGTATAGATCCAAATATTAGCGATAACGATGATAATACTAAGACTGGATTGACAGCGCTGGCGTCTTTTCCGGGAAGCGGCAATACATGGCTGAGATATTTACTACAACAGTCTACAGGTATTCTTTGATCGTTAAAAAATTATTACGAAACCAGAATTTATGTGTTTTTCGGATTTACTTATAGGTATTTTGACTGGAAGTATTTACAAAGACTATGGACTACTAAAAACCGGATTTCCGGGTGAAAATGTTTGCAACAGCTCTGTGTTATTAGTCAAAACTCACGAATGGGGCCCAAAAGCTTGGGCTCCGTTTTCCAAGGCTATACTGTTAGTTAGGGATCCAGAAAAGGCGATTATTGCTGAATTTAATAGACAAAGTGGAGGTCATGTTGGATTTGCATCTCCAGATCGCTACAAAAGAACAAAAGGAAAATGTAAGTAAAGCTGGACTGAATCAAGAATCGAACAGGTTATTAAAAATCGATAATCTTGACTAATACTTTTTCGGATTTATATTCGTAATGTGTCCAACTCGAGACCCTGTTAATAATCCAGAATGTGCATAACCTATCATAATATTTATGTATATTATAATTAAACTTATAATAAATAACTTCTCCTTACAGATTGGCAACAATTCGTAACCAATAAGTTGCGTGGTTGGGAACTGATGAATCTCAACTGGGCTAAGAATTTTACCGGCAACGTCAAAATAGTTTTTTACGACGATTTAGTTAACAACGTTGAAACAGTATTAAGAAGCATTTTAGAATTTCTCGAATTTCCAATAGACGAGGTGAGTAAACGAACTGTCATTTCATCGTTGTCATGTTATATAGTTCCCCCTCCCAATCATTGCAGAGTCTGCTGAAGTGTGCACTGATGCGAAAGGAGGGAATTTTCCGGCGAAAGAAACGTATACTAGCATTTGATCCTTACACGCCTGCCATGAGAGCCAACCTTGAGGAACGAAAACAATATGTCTTCAGTGTGTTGGGTCGGACTATGACAACAACAACAAACTAGGAATTTAACAACAACACCATAGCATAAATACTCCCCACATGTATTCGAATATACTCGTATTATTTACACATCTATATTATATATCTACCCACACCTAACATACATACATACATACATATAAATATATTTAAATGCTAAACCTATGGAATGAGCACAATGTCCGATCGCAGAAAGGACATAACTTTACTAACGAATGAATTAAACTTCGAATATACAATAAGGAAATGCAGTAACAATAAACAAAACGTAGACTAGTTCAATATACATATAATTTAAAAGTACGATACTGTTTTTGGTTATCTTTGTTCTTTGCGTTATATAAGAGTGCATAGACAATGTAATGCATACATAATGAAAATAATTAACGTTTGTATATATGCATATGTATTAACATACATATGTACATACATGTAATAAAAAAAACAATGAAAATTATATTATTGAATTTGCAGTATCGTTAATTTGGATCTTGACTTGGTGGCAATTCTGATGAGTATATTTGCAATCTCGTTTATTATTATTCCTATGTTACTTGTTACCCATATGATTCGTATGAGACCGTGTTGCGAGAAATTATTTATCAATATAATTAACACATCTTCGAATTTTTCGAATAGTTCGTTATAATAAAAGTTTTCTATATCCATAGTTCGATATAAGTGTAAATATTTGTATAAAAAATATGTCTTAAAACTTGGGGACCAGAAAATGTGTTCGCTATAAAGAAAATTCGTTATAACCGGTGTTCGTTATAAGCGTACTCGCATGTATAAAAAACACTTCGCGTTAACAAATTAAGTCTGATAAACCATTTTCAGACTAAACAAATCAAACACTTTTGTCTTCGGATGTGTGCGAATTAGTTGACCTATATATATATATATATATATATACAGTTGTTACAGTGGTGATCAAAATGTATGCAGTTGAAATTGACTATGAGGAAATATGTAGTAATCTCTTTATTTGAAATTAAAAAATAGGTCAACTTAGTATTTTTTTCAACGTTTTAGGTTCAATTGAAACTGTAGCTGTATTTTTTTCCAGAAATTTTTTGTATTTTGCTGTAAAATTTATTGATTTTTTAAAATTTATTGATAAAATGGTTAACTCGATATTAGCTGGGTCAAAACATATGCAACTCTGATGAATTTAAAAAATACCGTTATTATATGTATTATAGTTCATATTTATTCGCATAGTTTAAGTATTCTTGAGTGTTAAGTAATATTAAAGAAAAAATGTAATATACGTTCACAAACAACGAAACCCAGTTTCGTTCACTCATCGAGGAGGAAGCCCACGAAACAAAAGCTAACCTACTTATAATTTTTTTTTCATATTTATTTATATAATTTGTCCATGAAGATGGTGAAAACAATTCTTTATTACATGTTCCCAACTAGTAAAAGTCCTTAAACTGGACTTCCATGTGGACTTCCTCCTCGATAGGTCAACGAAACTTGAATTGTGGCTTTAACTTATTCACTATATGTAATATTGAACTTCTGGAGACATAAGTGTAAGAAGGCAACACAAAATCACTATTCCAAAAAAGTAGAAAGTCACAGTGCAAAAAGTAGAAATTGTTTCCGCACAGATTCAATTTTATCAGAGCCATATTCGAATATAGGTCGTACAAGAGATGTAAAAAGTTGTTTTGTTATGTAGGGGTCAGAGAATTCTTCAGGCCATCGTTTTATAAATTTACCATTGAAATTGCATGATTATTAAAATTTAATTTTGTTTTTAGAAACATATTGTGTTTTTATCTGGACAGCCTGAATTTGAATAAGTTTTTATATTAACAAAGTCATAGAAAAAAATCATTTATTTTTTTTATTTTCCATTAAATAATACCAAAGCCTTCAAGGCCAATAAATAATATTAACAATATATAAACATGTCGAAGCAGACTCTTAAATCTAAAAAAACAGCCATAACTACAAAATGCAAAAGTTGCAAATTAATGCCAAGATAAACATCAAAGTTTTAAAAATAAAACCATCAATCCAACATAAATCAGACCATAAGTAAATTTTAATAAGTATTTAAAGGCATCAAGAATATATAAAATCAAAAAAACATTACATAATATTTGGATCAGCGCTTCAAATGTAGTCCAAAAGTTTCAAATGAAATGCATTATTTGAATGAGAAAATACTCTCAGTTCAACTGCCAAGTAGTTCCATATTCGAGCAACTCGTATTAAAAACGATTTCTCAAAAACAGAATTATATATTCATGGTATAAATAATTGAGTAGTTCTTGAAGACATATTAAATCTAAACATATTCGATAGCAGATGGGGTACTCCACATTTAACGATTTTATAAAATGAGCATAACAATTTGATTGTACCAAATTTATCAAAATCAACTCCTAAAAAACTCTCAACATAGCCAGAAATATGCTCATATCTCTTTACTCCATACACGAAACGAGAAATACAATTAACAATTCGCTTTAATTTGAAAAGGGTACGATCTATAGTTCCAGATACTACTTCCAAGCAGTAATTAATATGGGGCATAAGAAGAGCAAATACCAACCTCTTTTTTACCCATGAAGGAATAAATACATTCGTAGAGTACAACTTGCGAATAATTCCACAAACTTTCCGATGTATAAAATCAATGTGAGTGTCAAATGATAACTTGTCATCTATAAACACTCCTAGAATTTTGTGACAACTTACAAAGTCTATCTATGAGGATTGAATTTGAAAATATGTTTAATATTTTTTTAAATAAATATTGAAAAGTTTTTGCGACTCTGTCGTATATTTTGACCTTGCAACAGCATTATTAAAAAGTTTATTTTTATAATTTTTAATACTTGAAAGCCCAGATGTGACCCATGGATATCTATCCGAGTTTCTAATTCTAACAGTTGGAACACATTCTAGAATACATTTATTTAGGATATCGTTTTGTTAGTGATATTCCAATCTTATAATCGCCAACAATCGCTTGTCATTTCTATTTGGTTGTTTGTGATCATATATTACTATTTGTTTAGCAAATATTTATTAAATTTACCTCTTAACTTTCAATAATACTTAAACTGTGCGATAAAATATTAACTATGATTCCTAGAATAACGATATTTTTTAAAATTTTCAGAGTTGCATATGTTTTAACCCCGCTAATATCGAAATATCCATTTCATAAATAAATTTTACAGCAATATACAAAAAAATGTCTGTGAAATTTGCAATTTCATTTGAACGTTAAAAATACCAAATTATTATTAAAAAGTTGTTTTTATAAAAACAGCAAACTGGGATTACGCCATCCTATTTTGCAATAACAATATATAGGAAATAAAAAGGAACGAAAGCAGCATGATGTATACAGTATCACATTGAATTGAAAAACTGAACATCTGGAAAGTCCATACACCATATTAGCGTTTTTAATTCCAACAAGTGAATAAGCGTTAAGTTCGGCCGGGCCGAACTTTGGATACCCTCCACCATAGATATACTGACAGGTACTAGAAATGAAAATATAGGGAACACCCCAAAAATTAGACCTATATCGCTGTTTCTATGTAAACTATAATACAAATTTCAGAAATTTTTAATGGATAATTATACCCTCAGTCTTATGGCTAATGAAGGTGTATACACTTTACACCGTGGAAATGTGCCTCATCGAAATATTGGTTCTAGACCCCATGTTTCTTTGGACAAAATCCGTTACAGAAAATTTAGATTTCATCCAAACTTTGCCCATCTTATTATTTCTTCCAAACTTAATTCAAATTCGAAGATGGGGAATATCGGTCCACTCCTCTCTGGTACCTCCCACACAGGGGCTAGGTCTAAATACGGGTTATAGTTCATTATCGAACCTTACATTATAGTTTTTTATCTCGATATCATCCGCAGGTGATATGATTACAACAGAGTCTTAGAACCAAACCCAAAACGCGTAACAAATTGCATAACTATTTTAATATAAATAAAAAGGGGTTATATGGGGACTATTCCAAAAAGGGGGTGCATGTTAAAATTTTTTGTAGGGAAATTTGTTACCATATTCGACCACAAAATACCAAATTTCAGCGAATTCGGTTGAAAAACGCGCTCAAGGACCCCAAAATAGCGAAAATTGGGGGTACCCTTATATGAGGGCTACCAGAAAAATTGGACCTATATTTATAATTTTTGGTGGAGATATTTGGTACCCAATAAGAACTCATAGTACTAAACTACAGCCAATTCGGTTGAAAACTACGATCAAAACCCCCAAAATACTGAGAATTAGAGAGTACCGTTATATGGGGGTTACCAGAAAAAATTGACCTATATGTATAATTTTTTGTGGAGAAATTGGGTACCCAATAGCAACTCAATATACCAAATTTCAGCGAATTCTGTTGAAAAACGCGCTCAAGAACCCCAAAATACCGAAAATTGGGGGGTACCCTTATATGGGAGCTATGCCTAAACGTGGACCGATATATCCCATCTTCGAACTTGACCTGCCTGCACACAAAAGACTCTGTGCAAAATTTTGGCCATCTATCTCAACTCGTTTAGGCGCTAGAGTGATTACATCAGACGGACATGCTTAGATCGTCTTAGAATTTTACGCTGATCAAGAATATATATACTTTATAGGGTCGGAAATGATTATTTCGATGAGTTACAAACGGAAAAACAAAATTAATATACCCTCCATACTATGGTGGAGGGTATAAAAACTGTTAGCAACACTTTTCTCCATGTTGCCATATGCGATTCTGAAACACGTCATACGCATTGCGGGTATTTAGGTGCTGTCATTGACATCAGCCAAACAGCTGATGAGCGGCTGTCAGAAGGTTGTGAAATTTGTTTAGTTATCGAACATTTGCAGCTTAATCGGCATAATATCCTATTAGGTGCTAAGAAAATATTATGAAGTTATGTGGAAAACTGTGCAAAATATACGAAATATAAATGGTCTTGTAAGTAGGAGTAATTATTTGCAATTACCCCTGTGCAGACCAAAATATGCATCAACTTTATTGACCGGCAAAAAGGTAAATATTATTCAACAACTGTGTTAATATGTGTGTCTAACGTAATTGAGACTTGTCGTTGCAACATGAATATACAATTAGCTAAAACAATTCGAGTTGGAATACAAAGCAGTTGTCGGCCTAATATCGAGATCTTTGGGAGTTAGTCCACAGACAGTGCGACACTTTCACCTAAGCCTTTGTTCAACTTCTAAAAACAGCCCTAGTCAAAAGGATGGTGGTAAACCGACAGAACCGGCGGGCAGCAGTGGTAGTAGCGGTGGATCAACTGGAGGTGGACCAAATGGAAACAAAAACGATAATGATGAAAAAGTCAAATCTGTGCTGACAAAGACAGTAATGTGGATGTTTACCATATACATGTTTGTGGCGTTTATTTCATTGATTTTGTCACCACGCACCGACCGCCCTGAGGTAAGCTCTATGAAGTTATTCAATATTTATCATAAATGCGGGTTAGTAAATACGAAACTGGTCACACCAAGTTCCACTTAACCGATTTTAAACCTTTCTAAAATAATTTTCAAACAATTTGATAGGAAACAACGAAGATAGGACTATCAAATATTATAATACATTCATGTAATCTAGTTACCAAATAATGTAATTGTAGGGGTCAACACGATATGTTTCATGGAATGAATTTGTTCATCATATGTTGGCTGTCGGTGAGGTCAAAGAACTTATTATTCGTCCCGATATGGAAATGGTGACTATAATTCTTCACGACGGAGCCATAGTAAAGGGACGAAAAGTTTCATCCACAATATTCCATATGTCAGTGGCAGACGTTTCAAAATTTGAAGAAAAACTTCGAGATGTGGAAAAACGTTTGGGTATTTCTGATGGTAAGTATATCGTGTTGTTGATATAGATATGACCGTATATTTAATTAATGGTGCGTATAGTTGTTATGACTGCATTACAAACAAAATAATAATAAGATTGGTCGCTTACTTTTCCTGTAATAAAATTTAAAAAAAAGATCGCCCTTACAGGCAAAACTCAACTGATCACGGCGAGTGTGCGAACCTAGGTCCCCAGAGCAATATAAATATTGTCCGACCAAATATTGTCTGAACCATCAACACACATCCGAAGGTTGGCCAAAAAACATGTAATTATCTTTCGCTATAAGAGACAATTTGATTTGAAAAGGACTGTTTCTAAAGTAAATACAAATGTCGGACGTTGATAAAATTAAATTTAATTCGCAGATGCAACTTCGCATTAACTGCGACATAAGTTCAAGTCATACAACATAAGACCTTTGTAAAGCCACATAGCCCAATATATCTGATGAACCGCTTAATCAACTGCGAAACGCGTCAAATATTGGTGGATGCGGAGGTTCTTCTCCTAGATTTCCATTTTATTACAAAAACTTCGATCTAAATGACTCCAACGAGAAAAAATACACTTATATTAAAAACTAGCTGAACCGATAAACGTTGCCTTAGGTATATTTTTGATGAATAATTTTTCGGATAATTTTTTTCCCCGCATGGATTTGAGAATATTAATACCATATCGAATTTTATTTCTACCACTTTTAAATTTGTCAATTATAATTTAAAGTATATTGTATACGGTCAATTTTCAGGTGTTCCCGTTACCTATGATAGACAAAGTGACGTCACTGGTCGCATATTACTACTGCTGTTGTTTGTAGGTCTCCTTATGGCACTATCATCAAGAATGAAAGGAATGAAGAGTCCATTAAGCATGGACTCATTCGTAAGTTATATCTTAATTAATGTAATAATCCACATTTAATGAGCGTTATATTTGTCTTCAAAATGTATGTACAGACACAAATGGGAAGAGCAAAATTCACTTTAGTTGACCCATTTGAAGGAGGACGTGGTGTACTGTTCAAAGATGTCGCCGGTTTGCAAGAAGCCAAACAAGAAGTTAAGGAATTTGTTGACTATCTGAAAGATCCAGAAAAGTACCAACGGCTGGGAGCAAAGGTGCCTAAAGGTGCTCTGCTTCTTGGACCTCCCGGTTGTGGTAAAACGTTATTGGCGAAGGCTGTGGCAACTGAAGCCCAAGTTCCCTTCCTAAGTATGAATGGGTCAGAATTTATCGAAATGATTGGAGGCTTGGGTGCTGCACGTGTAAGAGATTTATTCAAAGAGGGACGAAAGCGATCGCCTTGCATTATTTATATTGATGAAATTGATGCAATTGGAAGGCAGAGATCTGGCACTGAAGGATTCAGTCAAGGCAGCTCTGGAGAATCAGAGCAGACACTAAACCAACTGTTAGTAGAAATGGATGGTATGGCATCAAAGGAAGGCGTTCTCATGTTGGCTAGTACAAATCGTGCTGATGTTTTAGATAAGGTAATAAATGAATACATACATGTTTCTAATTTAATTCACTCATTTTCATCTTAGGCTCTTTTGCGTCCAGGCCGTTTTGATCGACACATCCTCATCGATTTGCCAAATCTCGAAGAAAGAAAACAAATATTTGAAAAACATTTATCTTCAGTGCAGTTAGAAGAAGAGCCATCCAAGTATTCTCATCGTCTAGCCCGTCTAACTCCGGGATTCTCTGGAGCTGACATAGCCAATGTATGTAATGAAGCGGCACTTCATGCCGCCAGAAACAGCCAAGATAAGGTTACAACGAAAAATTTAGAATATGCTGTGGAGCGTTTAGTTGGTGGCACAGAGAAACGTTCGCATGCTCTTTCACCAGTTGAACGTAAAGTGATTGCGTACCACGAATCTGGACACGCTCTTGTCGGCTGGCTACTTCCAAAGAGCGACGTTCTCCTGAAGGTAACAATAGTACCTCGTACTAGTTTAGCTTTGGGTTTTGCACAATACACGCCCAGTGAACAACAATTGTATTCAAAAGAGGAACTATTGGACAAAATGTGTATGGCATTAGGAGGCCGAGCCGCTGAGGACTTAACATTTGGTCGTATTACAACGGGAGCCCAAAATGATTTGGAAAAAGTTACTAAAATGGCATATGCCCAGGTAATTTTAAGGAAATAATTTTTTTTTATTTTATAATAACTACGTTTGCACATTAGGTAAAAAAGTTTGGTATGAATGATAAAATTGGTCCCATGTATATACAAGATCCAGAAGAAACGGGGACATATTACAAACCCTATTCAAAGGCTCTTGATGACATTGTTGACATGGAAGCTAGAACTATTATAGCCAATGCATATCAAAAGACCCAGCAAATATTAAAGGACAATAGTGACAAATTGCAAAAGGTAAAAATGTCAAGTTCAGTATGTTTATAAAATTTAACAAATCTGTATTATATTACTTAGTTGGCTGAAGCTTTACTGGAGAAAGAAACACTTAATTACGATGAAGTTGTGAATCTGATCGGACCACCAGCTTATGATACTACCAACCGAACCGTCGAACCAGTTGAGTTTGAACAAACTCTTAAAAACCTTAGTGATGATAAGAAGTAGACGTATTTGTTATTGTTGTTTTATTTTATATATTTTTAAATAAAAATAAGCGAAGATTAAAAAGAATGTTATGCTTATTCGATCAATGAGTTAATCCTTTTTATAATAAAATAAAGTTTTTTATTTTATTTATTTATTTTTTTTATTTATTTATTTATTTTTTTTTTTTGATAAAATGTAATATTCAAATACATGTTGATACATATTCAGCCTTATTCTGTATGTCAATTCCACGTGAATTTACTCGCTCATCTCCTTCGACTTATTCTGAACAACATTTTCCTGTGAATTTTTTCGCATTCTCGCTTTCGCCTTATTCTGAATGAAGTTCGAATGCGAAAAATCCGCTTTGGGGAAAAATTAGGTATTGTGGATTACAGGGAGTAGGAGAATGAGATGAAATTTTGTGCGAAATTTTTCACAAATAAATTCAAAGGGAACTGACTATAAAAACATAAGAATTAAATATTTTTATGAAAAATATCTACACAATACTTCCTCTATGACAATTTAGAATATTTTAAATGATAGTAAGCAATTTTAAACTGGAAAACAACTAATAAAATGCCATTGGAAATCCTATTGATAACGATACATGCTGAATCAAATATTGCCAAGGAATGTATTAAGTAAATAAGGAATATTTAAGTCGAGTTTGATGTATTTTGGAGGCGAAATACAGACATTTTGGGTGAGGATCTGTCTCTCAAGAAAATTTTTTTTTAAAAATTATGGAAAAACCAAATTTGCCTTATGAGCCTCTTAACAGTGAAAAGCAAATAATAATTATGAAAGAACAATAATAAAGTTACAAAAAATATTTTTTTCAAAATTATCGTCTGCATGATTTGAAGGAAGAAATAAGGGAGTAGGAGCAAATCATAACATAAGAATTTGGGGAGATAAAATATCGAAATTAAATAAAAAGGCACACAAGTATGTAGTGAAATAATAATTTGTGTTTTTGCCATCATAAAAAATTTTCTTTTATTTGTAATATATTGTTGCATCAAAACAATGGACCAAATTGCATCAAAACAATGAACAGCTGTTTCACATGCCATATTGTAGGTTGCCATATTTTCAAACATTAATTTATTTTCCTTTAATTACAAAGCGGATTATTGATATTTCACATTTGTATTGTTATAAAGTTTAAATAACAATAAAAAGTAAAAATTTTTAATAAGAAAAATCAATAAATAAAATATTGAAAAATATTACACAATTAAATTACAATGGGGCAATACACAATGCAACTTAAATTACAATGTGGCAACACACATTACAACTTAAATTACAATATGCCAACACGAATCTTTTTTTCAACCACCATTTTCGAAAACTCGAATCCGCATCTCGCATTTTTTGCGTCTCCCTATTCATTCAGAATAAGGCGAGAAAGTGAAAGCGAAATTTTTTTACATGCGAGATATCTCCCAGCGAATATCCAGAATAAGGCTGATTATTATTGATTCGATGTAATGGAAGTAGTTATAATAAGTAATAATTTGGTTGGTAAAATGGAATAATTGAAACCGTAATTTAGTAATAACGGTTCAGACAACTGAATCATCGAAGGTGATACCACAGTAAAAGAAAACATTCTTAAATTTAAACTACATACCCAGTTGTTCAAAAAATATCAATTGTCTGTTGATATATGGTTATATAACTAGTTACTTGGAGTTCTAGTTTCTTTATACCCCAAAAAGGGACACAAAATTGAATGTTGAATTTATTTGTCGATTGAAAAGGTTGTCTAGGTATATCATTCCAATTCAGTAGTTACTGGTAATGAAAAGGGTAATGAATCGAGTATGAATATAAAAAAACAGAAGAATTGTTCTGTCATTTTGTTTAGACTTTTTAGAAATTTTTGGAATTTTAAAAGCAAAAATCAAATAGAAATGTGTTTTCCGTAAAAAAAATAAAATTTCAATATTCAAATAAAATACAGATGATAAATCGAAGGTAAGTTTTTTGTAACACAATATAGATCAATGTAATCCTTATACAGGCTTCATTTCCAGATTTCAAAAGCCCCCACAGATTGACAGATTCTTCAAACGAAATATATTCCTAAAGAAGTATTGACATGCCTTCTGTGAAGAGGAAGAGTTGTCGCTCCGTAGAGATCTGTCGATTTTCTATAGGTATGTTTTCTCTAACAAAAAAAGCTTTATGTAGGACTTCTAACTTCAAATGTTTCTAAATCGTTTATTTCAGATAAATCTATTTAGCCAGGGAGACATATTTGAAAAGCACTCGGCCGTCAAAAGAATCGTGAACTATGGACTTTCAGATGGATCAAACAATATATATGTATACAATACTCTGTTATAACAAATATTTTTGTACAGAATAAATTGTAATTTTTCAAACTGTTATACATCTAATTTTCTATACATAAGTAACTACGCATTTTATTTATAGTTTGTATCTACCCAAGTAACTGACTATAAAACACTAGTCAAATATACAATCATTTTTTACTACCGAAATGACTGTATACTGGTAACGCAGGCAGGGGACAATTGACTTCCCCAATGACATACCCATGTTAAATTCACCAGTCTAGGGCATGAAGAGGTAACTAGTGGTAGTTACAGGTAATTAGTAAAATAACCAGTTCATAACCAGTTACTCGAACTACTGGGTATAAATTCTCTGATTTATTGGTATAAAGAACATTGGCTGCCGACTTCTCCCTCTATGCTACTGCTTTCGTTTGTGTAAGACTAGCTTTAATACCTATCAGTGACATAGCCAAAATCCTTTAAAACCAACTCATTTATTGTAAGCATTAGGAGAATATCTATCCAGGTTGAACTACATGTTAAACCTTGTTGTACACTTTAAATAGTGCCGTTTTTTACACGATTAAATTATTTGTGCCTAAAAGTATACTTCAAAATAAATCTGTCACAATTTTCAAATATTAATTCACAATAACTTTAGATTGGCTCTTAAAATATTCGAAATTACAGTAATTACTTGAGTGAACACAAAATAAAACAATGCAGTCGAGTACGCTTATTATACACACCGGTTACAACGAACTTTGTTCATAGCGAACGCATTTCCTCGTCCCGAAGTTTTAAGACATATTTTACATACAAATGTTTACTCTTACATCCAACAACGAATATAGCGAACTTTTTTATAACGAACTATTTATTCGGCCCAACTTTCAGTTTCCACGTATTTTAATTTATTTTAACGATGAAAATCCTCAAAAAAGATAATTTTATGGGGATTATCGGTCCGCTTCTTCAGGCATCTCTTACATAAAGGGTCAACATTTAAATAGTAATATTTTACCAAAATTAAAATTGATTGCAAAAAATACAGCTTTAATTCAAATTTGGTACATGCATTTTTATACGCCATCATACCTTCGTGAAGTTTCAAGATGCGCTACTTGCGGTTGGACTGAAACGTTTTCAAGTATAGTATAAATCGATACGTGTTTGCTTCGTTGAATGTTTCAGAGTCAGAAATAAAATGGCTCTTTAGATATTAGTAGATTTCATCTTCGTTTTCAGAATCACAAACAACACTACCTTTTTCTCTGTTAGAATCTATATAACAATGATCTTCATTTTCACTGCTTGAAGATTCGATACGAGTTACGTCTACATACAAAATTGTCAAATAAAAATGTATCAGTATTTTTAAATTATTTGTTCAATTTTATTTTGTAAAATCATGAATGAGAAACATAAAAGATATATTTAAAATATATATCAAAATTTTTTATTTTGTTCAATGATTTCGCTGTGTGAATTTTTGGAAAATTTAGGAGTATAATTCGCGATTTTAATGTCGATTCGAAAGCTATGAAGCAAGTGACTGATTTTGACAATATCGTTCTTTGTAGACAAATGGCAAATTTTTACGTGTTCTTTCGATTGAACTTATAGTACGTTTACATTATACCGGATTAAAATTGTCAATTCCATTGTATATATGTCAAATAAATCCTCATGAAGTGGGTTAACCCGGTAAAAAGTTCTAATGTAAATGCCGTTTTACGTTCGAATGGAGAAAATGGCTGTTAATTTATATTTTTACAACTATGTTCTATAAATGAGAATCGAATGAGAAACAAAATTCACAAATACAATCAAATGTTTGAGTATAAAAAATTGTCAAATAAAAATGTAACAGTATTTGTTGTTTTTTTTATCAAATTTTATTTTGTAAAAACGTGATGAAAAAAATAGAAGAAAAATAATTTACAAACAATTTTTGTTATTTTGTTGTTGTTTTTTGTAATTAAAGAAAAGTCCTTATTTTTTATGGCGGGCATGATAACTCCTCACTGGAACATCGGAATCCGAAAATTCCAACGGAGACTTCGCTCTTAAGAAAATGGTGGACCTTTGAAAAAATATTTTTGGAAAATTACCGATTTTTTACTAAAACCCAAGTTAAAAAATAAGGAAGATCTTCACCGGTTGGCTTTATCCTGGTTCATACGATAGCTATACACTCACAGAGAAACGTGTAAAAATTCGAAATCTATTGGGTTATTAGTTTTTGAGGTATCGTGCCCGCCATTCGCAAAAAAAAATGTTTCGAGAAAAACGCGTTTTAAGTTTGAGAAGCCCTTCAGCCGTCACTTGATACTGACACAATAAATTGGCTACATCTTCAAGAGTTCTTGAGATTTTCATTTGAAATTTTGTAGGGACATTCTTTAATTAGTGTAGATTCGAATTATATCAACAAAATTGTTGACCCCGAGTATGGGGGGTCCCTTTAAATAAACAAATACAACCAAAACACATTTTACAATTTTGTAAGATAATTTACTTGAAAATGTTCTCTAAAATCTTAATATAGTCCAAATGTGCTTTAAAAAAACGATATAAATTAAAATTGAATTGAATATTGACAAAATATTAATATGTATTTTCGTTTGCACGTCTAATATAATTTTGTTTTTACTTTATACTCACATGTGCCAAAAATATCATAATTTTTTCGTTCAGCGCAAGGCCCA